GGGGGTCCGCAGATCGCTGGATCCGTTCCTCTTTCTGCTAAAAATACGCAATCTCGCGGCCCCGTCAGGCTGAAGAATTGAAATACACGTACCCTCTTCTCCCACACTGCCTCGTCTCCCCTTTGATATCGTTTACCCATAATCATTTAATTTTCTCGAAGCGCCCACGCCGACCGTACAAACTCGCAGGATGTCTTCCTTCGTCTAGCTTCTTCCTCTTTAGATCTTTAAAAGTCCTTGCCTTCTTCCGTGTGTCGTTCGTCGACTCGTCTGCGCGTCTTCTAAGCTTCTACGCGTAGTAAGATCAGGACGTTTCGTTGTTTGCCGAGGCATTCGTTAGTTTCTTTGTTCCTGTAGCTTGCAACCCAAGATAAAATGTATATTCGAGATTTCTTTCTTATTTGGAATATTTCTGCGTAATAGCAGTCTACGTAAATAAAAATGTAAATGTAAAACAATTCGTATTTTTCAGTCTTAGACAAACGAGAAGATTATCGAACGATGGGGACGACGTCGAATAGGCAGAATTACGATCGATCGAATTGATCGATTGACTTTGATAACACGTGACATTTTTTCACCTAGAAAACGATAATTATATGGGGCATATAGTTAGGTGGATTGGATCGATCAAAGGCAATTCCAGTTCTTATACGAACGTATAATATTTCATGGCTACAACAATCTGGCTGTAGTTCAAGCGAAGCATGAAATTCAAGAAACGCGTTCTAACAGTAATATATAGCAATGTACATATATTATGGTAGTACAGATATCTTTATCTGATATAGCTTATACTTATTCTAATGTACTGCAGTTTAATACCGGCTTTGATACTTTGACGTCGGTATGCTGCCGCGTACACCTATAGTCTAGTCTCGCCTCCCGCATAATTTTCCAAGCTAAATATGCAAATGGAAAGTGCGACAACGCTGCAACAAACAAAGAAACGTCGTCTCGCGTCTGCCCTTCGCGAGGCTTGAAAAACGCAACACGTCGATTCTCGTCTACTGGCGTCAACGCGTTAACACACTTTTCATCGAAACAATATCGAACGCGATATTTATTAGGTTGTTTGTATTATATCAGTTCGTTGAATCATGCGCGAACATAATAATAGAAATATAATTCAATAAAATAATCGTCCTTCGTCCATTATTCACCTTACGAAACGAAATAAACTTTCCGGACAAGCCAATACGAAGGTTCACTGTTGTGAAAAACACGTTTGCGGAAGACGCTTTCCGGACAACCTAATGCGAGCCGATTCCTCCGCTTCTTGCTCTCAGCAGGTTCCAATCTCGCCAATTCGCGCTCAAACGTTCGTCGATCGAACGTACAACAGCGAATCCCGTTATCAAATATAAAACGTAAAATAGTGTCCCGCATTGCCGAATAAAGTTCTAAATGCGATGGAAGAAGGAAGTAAATCTGTGCGATCGAATCTGCCGATAAGTCCAACAGAAAACCATAATTAACGAAACAACGTAGAAACAATTGGAAAGAGAAACGGTAGAAAACGATCGCTTGCCATTTAGATAAATTTGACGAGCGAAACGTGCCAACAGCTAATCAAGTTGACGTACGAGATCAATGGAACCCATTAGAAAGTAAAAGTAACGAATTAACGGTGTACAGAGCGATAGCATAGCGTTTAGTCGGATCCAGTTATGCGTAACGGTATTTCCATGTGCATGAATATTTTCGGCCAAGCGAATCGTATAATGTCACTGCGGCTGGACCGCATCCGGATTACGAATTAATTGCCGCGCGATGAAATCAAAACATCCACCTCCGCTTATAATTAATGTTATTCCGTCGTGTAAAGGGCGGTTCACCGCAGGTAAATCGTGCAACTGAACGTGCAAGTAAATTCGTGTGATCTATGATCGTTTCGTCGAATACGAGGACGCGAGATCGCTGTGCTACGTTACGCTATCTCGCCAATCCTGTGCACGAGCAAGGGTGAGAGAAAGACGATTAGTAGAATTGCTTCTCGAAGGGCGATCGATTGAATAATCCGATTAATTTAACCTCCTGTTTTGCGGTTTCCTCCTCTGCTTTTCCTTCTGCCCTTCCGTTTCACGCTATTGCACGCTTCGACGTTTCACTCGAAGCAGTAGCTTCGTCCCTCTATAGTCGAGCTCTTTAGCTTCCTGATATTTCTTTTAATAATTCTTCTCGTAGTTTCTTTCATTTTACTCGAAATCCTAAGGGTCTCGCGTACATATACTTCGTCTAACAATTTTTCACGAATTCACCTCGAATCGTCAAAATTATTCGATACCACCAAACGACAAAATCCGCAATCACTCGGTTGCCAATGTACAACAAATTTCTTAAGGTTCCATTTGCGTTGTACCTTGTTGCGCGTATATGGACGTACAACGTGCTGAGAACGAGCTTCGTGCGATTTGTTCCATCGACAACCAGAGAGTTTCCTTTAATTCCATCAACACTGCATCTCTTTCGAACTAGAGGAGAAACGTTATTCCATCGATTATCGAGAGACGCGAGTGTTTCTGATATTTCTTGGAATTTCTGAAATTTCTCGACGAACGATATCTGTATCTTCGCTAACAACTCGTCCAAGCAGAACGCACGAACATCGAGTATGCAAGAGCGAAGTTTCCCAACAAATTTTCTAGAAATGCCTGTAAATCAGAGTAATCCGAGCCGAATTATCTGGACAATTTTCGCGATTTCACTCGACGAAGCGTTGCTCGTCGATCGTTTCGTAAACGAAATAAAACGCGAACGTCTGAAAGATTGGCCTGATCGTCGATCAGAGGTTCGTGAAACACGGAGAAACGGATAGCAGGCGTAGGACGCGGAGAGCAGATATTTGCAAAGCCACGGAGTTTTAGCGGCAATCGAACGTAGGGAGTAAGGATGTGGGTACATGTATATAGTAGGTAGGTATATAGGGTCTCGGATTTGATTTACATCTACGCCCCGTAATCGAGGAAAGATTAGACAGCAGCCAGCTGCCGGGTCAGCGCGTCGACGAGCCGCCCTGCCAGGGTATTTGTAACCGAGCCTTGTCGAAATGTTAATGCGTACCAATGCTCGCTAATCACCCTGACACTTTGGCTTAAGCTTCCACAGCCAACCCCTATCCTACTCTTTTTTGCCCCGTCATTCATAAGAGCCGCAGATTTTCCTACCGATAGCTTCCACCGTGAAATCTCCATTAACTATAGTTCGCGTCGCAGCTCGCCGATCTTCCCTCAGCTATACACCTATACTTTTACGTATGCGATACTACTCGTCATTGGATCAACGAACGACTTCCCAAGTCGACAGACGTCGGTCGAATAATTGAAATTTAACGCTTTGACTGCCACGCCGAAATTACATGTTTCGCCGAGGACAAGATTTGGAAATTTCATTGCCATCGTAACGAGACGTTACTATCGTATTTGTACACGTTGGTGAAACTTGAAACAGATCTGGTAACAGAGGATGGAATATGGGAATTATACTTGTGGCACGCATATATCTTGCCAAGTATCTGAACAGTCGATTATATCGATAAGCTACGATATGCAGCGAGATTGTCTTTAGCGGTAATTGTACGCTTGAGACTACTGTTCGTAGCGTATGCACTAATTTTTCACTGAGTATTGAGAATCTTTGATTGATATATTCGTTTGGCAACTTCCATTGCCACCTAATGACAAAACCCGCGATCACTTAGTTGCCAAGCCAATGGCAGCGGTCAAAAAGTTGCTCATTTTTGACAACACGTGTCTCAACCGCAAAATGATCCGACTCTTCTCATATCGTCTTTATAATCTAAAAAATACGTGCAATATCATATTATGGCTCGATTAAATTGATGCTCGAATTTTCCAAATTTGCGACAATTATTCCTCGTTTGCAATAGCAGCAAAGTTTCAACAATGACAATAGTACAATAGTTGGTACGATAGTTAATAGTTGTACGTACTCGATAGCGATGTTCGCGTGAAAGGAAATAGACAAAGAAATATCGATGGGGATAAATAGAATTGGAAAAGCGTAGCAAGTCAGAAAATGAAAAACACATATATCCAGCAAATTCGGAGATTAATCCTTCCCGCATGACGTTACAAGTGTAAGCTGTTGACCCTTATCGGACCCACATACCCTACCGGCGATTAAGCCAATCTAGCTTCTTCTTGCCAACAAGAAAAGAAGTTTTCTAACTTGTGGCCTGACGTGTCTTTTATTCGAATTACGAGACAGAGAAGAACGAAAAAAAAAATTACGGAATATCGTTCTTTCGGTAAAGAGAAAATTGTCGGTTTCAACGCGATATATTAGGTTGTCCAAAAAATATCTTTCCTTCGCAAACTTGTGTCTTACGACAATGCACTTTCGTACATCGAGTCTATGGAACGTCACGATATTCAACTCGGCAGAACAAAATGGATTGTACGTAATTCGGCAAAATAATTATCATTTTGTATATACAACTGTTATTTCCTCACAAAAGGAAAGAAACTTTTCGGACAAGCCGATATAAAACGATTTACAAAAATAAAAGATGTAAAATACACGTTACAAGAACAGCGTTCTATGTTATCTATTATCGACAGGCGAATTCGTTCTCAAACTTGTACATAATACGAGAAACATGTAAACTCTGTATAAATGACTCGTATCGGCTAAATTGATGTACGTCGGACGATAATAGAAACAATCATTAACAATACCACTGGCTATCAACGTACAGTTTAAGCTACTATTTCTAGGCAGATTAAAATCTTGTATTGTATCAATATCGCTGCACCGATATCGGCACACGATCGAGTAACGCGATATTGTGTACTTGCACAAGATTGTCATAACATCGTAATCGTTTATATTGGAATATCTGTATTTCATTAGTATCGGTCAAATATTGATCGTGCAATTTTGCGGTATCGATCGTTTTGCATTAACACAATGTAGTTTCTTGTAGTTTACAGCCATACGATTCCGTGTTTCTATATCGATACCGGCCACTTTTTTCTCCTCCAGTATATCAATATTGATAAACGACAATTTAACTAATATCATATGCACCGAACCAACGCCACGTTTGATATTACAGTCAATTATACACGCTGTTATAAACGGTAAACTAGCTTCCGATTCGACGCTAATAGTTGCAAAGTATTCATTTTCCAACGATACGCAACTTCATATTCTATTAGCGAACTACAACTGCCAGACAAAAGGAAAATGACGATACCAACGTAACGATACATGCGATCGTTTCAAATTACAACCCTCTCCCATGGTCTCGATCCACGATTTAACCAATTTCCTACTGCTACCCGATCGAGGATAAATTTGCATCTGTATTTTCTTCGCACGATTTTGCGCCT